ATCTCCCCCATCCCGCCTGAGGCCTGGCAGTGCCATCATCACACATGCCTACCCTGCCCTTTGCCCTGTGCTCTCTGCCCTCTGCCTGGTACGGGGCCACAGTCTCAGCAAGAGAGAGAGAAACCAGGTGTGCTGGGGCCACACCCAGGCCGCCCCTCCCGGCCCTCGCTGGACCCACTGCAGCACACCCGCCTTGGGAGCACAGGGGACTGCACCCGTATCTGTGCAGTGACCGAGGGCCAGCAGAGCGCCAAGGTCACCTGACAACATTGTCCAGGACAACACTGCCCGGGCCTGGGTGACGTCAGAAGCGCTCAGTAATAAAATGGCCCGTGCACCCCATCTGAGTAGCAGGCTCCCCCCAGGCGTCCACGGTCACCTGCCTGCAGGAGCTGGCTCCCAGACCACTCCTTCCGGAGCAGCGGCCAGACCCAGGCAGCTGGGGCAGCCTCAGCCAGGGCCCTCCTGCTTCCTTGATCTTCTTTTATCCCCGGGGCCAAAAGCCATCCGCTCCCTCGTGTAAGGGTCGGGGGTGAGTCCTTTCACCCACTTCCACAGAGAAAGTCCAGCTTGACGGGCCTGGGGGAGGCAGGCAGGGCAATGCCGGTGAGAGCACTCAGACCACCGGTGGGGACAGAGCCTGGCTCTGGACAGAGGTCCTCCTGGGGCTGTGAACACGACAGTCAGCTGACTGAGCAGCAAAAAGAGGGCAGAGCCTGAGCCACCCCCACCCCACCCTCCCAGCCTGGGGAGCACGTGGACACTGAGCGCGATGCTGAAGGGCCACGTGCCGACCGGCAGCCTTGCTGGCCCACAGCCACGCTGCTCGGCTCCTGGGTCACAGCAACAGGGAGCAGCGACGCCCACGTGGCCAGGGGCCTAACTCTGACTTCCTGCCCCTCACAGGAGCCGCCTGCCCAGTGTGCACAAGCAACACCTCACCGATGCCCAGCAGCGATCCCACGGCGAGCTCTGGAGCAAGCTTGTCCACAGCTATGCGGGCGGGCCCTGCTGAGCTAGGACGTGGGTTCTGCTCCACCAGAGTCCAAGGGGCCGCAGACAAGCGTCCACTGGGGCTCTGGGAAATGTCCAAACACCTCCTTTCCTTTAGACAGGACCCAGTCCCCCTGGATCACAGGAGGCAATTCGGAACTTCACTGGGATGAAACACCCAACAGACTGACGGCCCTCATGCCACCTCCCTCACGTGGCATGTGCTGGGGCCCGGGGTCTGCTTGGAGCCCTGCGCAGTGCCCTGCCTCAGGAGGTGGCGCCCCAGATGGGCAGCCTGTGAGTGGCCAGGTCCAAGGCCGAGGGCGACAAGCTCCCTGCTTCCTGTTCTGTGACTGACGGCACCCACGGAGTGGCGACTGAGACGCGCTTTGGGATGGGGCAGTGGAGGTGTCTTAACCAGAAAGCGGTGGCCTCTGATCCCGCCAGGAGGAATTTAATAAAAGCCTGGAACTGCATGAAGCCATCCTGCACCACTCACTGGGCAGAAGAAAGTTTCCCTACCCTTGAAGTAAAATCACTGCGCCGTGGCGCCCTCAGCGCCCCTCATTTAGAGGGGGGCACCATCCCCTCCCACAAGGGCAGTCCCATCCCACCCCTGGCCACAGGGCCTGGGTAGTGCACGTTTCGAGTTAAAATTATGTCTAAAAACCAGCTCCTTGGTGACATTTTTCAAGTGCTGAACAGCCCCCCTGTGCCCAGAGACCACTGTAGGGCACTCCATCTTCCAGAACCTTTTACTGGGTCGCTGCTCTGGAGTCTCTCTGATGTCCGTGACCTCACACAGCCCAGTTTCCCCTCCTCCCCTGCTCCCCTGAGGCCCCTGGGCCACGCTCATGGGTTTCCTTCTTTTTTACCTGGATGATATTCCTGTGCGCGTGTGTGCGCGTTTATGTGTGCATGTGTGTGTGTACATGTGTGTGCCTGACTGTGGGTGTGTACACGTGTGCGCATGAGTGTGGACATGTGTGTGTACGTGTGTGTGCATGGGTATGGGTGTGTACATGTATGTGCCTGGGTGTGGGTGTGGGTGGGTGTGTAAGCATGTGTACGTGTGTGTACTACAGTCACCCATTCATCACTGACAGACACTTAGGCTGTTTCCACATCTTGGCTACTGTGAGTAGAGCTGCTATGAACACGGAGTGAGGTATCTCTCTCAGATAATTCCCTTTCCTTTGGATAAACAAACTCAGCACACTGCAGGATGAAAAAGTCAACGTACAAAACTCAGCTGCGTTTCTGCGCACTAACTGACCTGCAGAAAGAGAACCTGAGAAAACAACCCCACTTACAAATGCAGCACCAACAGTACAATACGTGGGAGCATGTTCCCCCGAGGAGGGGGGTGATCTGTGCACTGGCCACTGAACACGCTAACAAATGAAGACGCCCGGCGTCCACGGACTGGAGAAATTTACCCTGTGAATCGTCCATGCTGCCCCAGCGACCTACAGGCCCAGTGAGTCCCATCCAAGCCGGTGGCATTTCCCAGCACTAGAGAGCAAACTCAACTCTGTGGAACCCCGACGACCCCCCACAGCCAGGCGACCCTGAGCCCACTGACTTTCCGATGCCCCTCAGCACAAACAGACACTGTGGTCTCCTGCCCTTCAGGAAATCTGTATCTCTCGACCCCTCCGCGCCCGTCTCCTCCCCCACTGGTCCTGCAGTGGACGTCCTTTCACTCACAAGAAAAGGAAGCAGCAGCATCCAGACAACGGGACACATCCGTCCAGGACCGCCCTGCCTGCCTTCGGACACGCCTCTGGGGCGGGCCCAGCCGCCACTGCTCTACGGCCCCCTTCTGTTCAGGTGTCGGGGACGGGCCTCCGTGGGCTGCTGTGCCCGCCTCCGACACGGGGCTCCTGCCCACGGGACCTGGCTTCTGTTACCGCTGCCTGTCACCCGAGCAGGAGCAGACAGGGGCGCCAGACATGAACTTGCCTAAACCCTGGTCTGCTAATCACATCCTGTCTACCAGGCGCCTGGTACTTAAGGATAAAACTATAGTTATTTATTTATTTAAATATATTTGATTGATTTCAGAGAGAGGAAGGGAAAGGAGGGAGAGAGAGAGACATCAATGATGAGAGAGTCAATGATCGGCTGCCTCCTGCACGCCCCCCACTGGGTACTGAGCCTGCAACCCGGGCATGTGTCCTGACCGGGAATCGAACCGGGATCTCCTGGATCCTAGGTCAATGCTCAACTGCTGAGCCACACCGGGCCGGGCAAAACCGTGTTTATTTTGATGAGATGAGAATGTGGGGATTCCTGCTGGCGTTCAGAAGACAATGTCATCGCCTCCCTGTCACCGCCATGCCTGCTCTCACGCACTGGACGGCGATCCTGCTGGCCTCCTTACGGCCACAGGCCAAGCGTGTCAGGGAAGGGCTGACGGAAGAGCAGCACAGGCAACCGGAGCCCGCCGTGGTAGACAGGGATGCTGCGGGGCCAGGAACGAGGCGCTCAGCCCCACAGCTGCACTGCGCAGCCAAGGAAACTCGCCCAGAGCTCCTCTCACTCAGTCCTCAAAGCCCAGGCACCGGCGGCTGAGGAGGGTGATGCATCCCCGCGGGCCAGGGCTGGGGGCAGAGGAAAGTGCACTGGGCCATGTGGAGGCCGCAAAGCCCGTTCCCTCAGCCGAGACCCTGGAGCTGGAGAGCCACGCCGCCCCGGCAGCCACACCAGGGCCAGGGCCAGGGTGGATCATGCTCTGCACTGGGAAGCATGGGCCACCTCCCTGCTGTTGGGCAATTTCTGATTGTGAGTTTTCATGCTTGAGATAACGCACTCCATTCACTCTGTGCCACTATCTAGTCCAGGGCCCGGGACAGATTAGGTGCTTATCAATAACCTTTGTGGACACACATCCCCAAGGCACCTGCAGGGCTAAAGAGCCCAAAACCTGTGGCCCAGCTAATGCACACTCGGGTTAGGGGAGAGTGGTTGCCAGGTGCCATCCTGTGATCACTGTGCACTCCCAGTGCCAAAGATGTGACACAATTTCATGGTTACCTGGGCCTGTAAAATAAAAATACTCCCGTTTTTAAGATGTGAGAGGGTTTATGACCAGGGGACATCAGTTCAGGAATGAGTCCACAGTACAAATGAGGCAATTCATGACAAAAGTTAATTTCAGGAAAATTAACTCAGTAAAGATGCCACATCTGCACTTAAATTTTAATACCTATCAGGTGTCTTGGCGAGTGGAGGACCTAGACACAGTCCGTGCCCTGGCTCCTCACAATGTGATGGACGTGACACCTAGCTCACCCGACGCCTAGTTCACCTGACACCTAGTTCGCCCGTATATGATGGGGACTGTCACAGGAGCTCTGCACTCAGCGAGAGGCGAGTCCTGAACAGCCTGGCCCAGCACAGATGGGCAGCACTCTCGATTTAGGGGAGATTAAGTTGTTCCTAAGATGCTCCCAAATCCAGCCAACAGCGCCAGGCTGTCGGCCACTTCAGCCAAACGGCCAAGGAACGGCTTTATGTCCCAGTAAACATTAGTGCCCAGGAGTTCTGTAGCTGCCAGGAACCTAGAAACTCAAAAACTGTGACCTCCCGACTCACGAGAGAGGAGAGATGTCACATTGCACCAACTGTCGGTGAGTTTTAAAATCTTTATTATAAGCACCTCGGAACACAGGCACCGTGAGTGTGAGTGTAGAGTGAGAGTGTGAATGCTGTGGCGGATGTGGCTCAGACCCACAGACCCACACCACAGTCCAGAGTGTTTGCGCCATCCCCCCACCCAGTACCCGCGCCACATGGAAACCGCGAGTGAGCACGAGGAGGGACCCTACACAGCGCAGCTGGAGTGAAGCTCAGCCACAAACACAGCAAGAAGCTCTTTCCCTGCTTTACACCTACTCAGATGATGAGACAGCGCAAACAGACCCTATAGGACGCAGACCGACCGAGAGCCGCTCTCAAGGCCGCACCGAGCCACGCAGACCCGAGCAGGGCGCAGAGCTCACCTGGTAGGTGTCCCACAGGCGGATGGTGCAGCGCAGGGGCACCTCCCTCATCAGCAGGTTGTTCATCCAGCGGAAGGCGAACTGCAGGTACCTCACCTCATGCTGCTCCAGGTGCCGGTGGACTTGCTCTGTGAGATACAAACACAGGGCTGTCAGGAGGCACCTCGTCTGCGCCCACCATAGAACAATCTGCTCAGACAACCAGGGACCTCCGGGAAGCCTGCTCCCCAAACCCAGCAGGACGGCCAGGACTACGCCACCTGACAGACTAGAGCACTGGCCTAAGAGGCCAGTGGCAGAGCTGGGGTCCCCCCCCACCTGGCCAACAGACCAAGGCACCTCTCCTGGCCAGGGCAGGCCCACTACACACAGGCTAGAGTCCTGGGAGGGGTCTGGAGAGGAAGAGATGAGCTTGCCAGCTCCAAAAGACAACCTCCACCTCACCCAGGAAAATGCTACCTCCTCACAGACCCAGCCAGTGAGTGCCAGGCAGGCATGGCCCTGGGCTCTGGGTCCAGGTCTGGGGCACATGAGGACAGCTGGGCCTCTGAGACGAACCAGGCTTCACTGACCCGCATTTCGCTGGCGCAGGATGTCCCATCAGGGACAAAGTCGCCCATCCTCAGCTCTGCAAGGGCAACTCCCAGCCCAAGTCCCTGCGGCCCCGCCCAGGCCTCTGCTGAGCGAGTGGTCAGCAGCCAGTCAGGACAACTTCGGGCTCTAGGAAGCTCCATGTCTATGGAATCCTGAAGGGGTCACTTGAGGAAACAAAGTTCCGGTGATCACAGCCATGACGTCCCATGTGAGGGCCCGAGAGGTGGGACTGTCCCATGAAGCAGGTGCACGCTGCCAGACTGACCCAGAACGGGGACTTTCTGTGCTGACTGCTCTCAGTGGGGCCTCCGAGCATTGCTGAGGCCCTCCTCCTGCACTTTTCTTTTCCTTAACTCCCCAAGTCACAGACATGCCCTTCTTCCCGGAGTTCACCTTCCATGGTGCCCTGTCCTGAAAGGCATCCCTGAAAAAAGTGCATTGCTGTTTTCGGTTCTCCCAAAGAAAGTTCTAGAAACGGCAAATAAACAAGTGCAAGAGAAAAGTTAGGAAACACAGACAAGTGACCACAGAGGGGGGAGCTGCCGGAGTGAGTGACAGGCAAACAAGGCCGCCCCAGCCAGGCCCCAGTTCTCCTTCCAGCCCACGTGAGGAGGTGTCTGTATGAACTGGGGAAACACACAGCTCTGACATGTGCCTGCGAGGTCGGAACACCTTCCTGACATAAACTGGCAAGCAGACCTCTGGAAAAGTAAATGCTTATTTCTAAAGCATCTGTCACCGGAGTGACCTAACCAGACAAAGTAAAGACTAACTCTCTTCTTCCAGAAGAAGCCTAAAGCCCCACCTGCAGTGGTTACAGGGAAGGGTGAGCCCCCGGCCCCTCCCCATGGGTATGGCAGGAGGTGACCCTGCCTCAGGCTGGGCCTGAAGGAGCTTGACCCAGACAGAGCGGCCAACCAGCTGCCTTGCACCACCCACCTATGGGGCAGCCTCCTGACCAGAGATAGGCACCACTGTAAGGCAGGCTGGAGAGCCTGTCAAAGGGGCATGCAAGGCGGCCACAGACTGAAACCAGAACTAAAGACTGTCCTGTTCATCGAAATGACCCCACATTGCCAGGTGGGTGCATGAACTCGCCCTGGGTTCCAGGACCAGCACCCTGGGCATGGCCATCACCCTCCGCAGAGCAGGCCTGGACCCGAGAGAGCACAGGCCACAGGACAACCAGAACCTGACGCGGAGTTGACCCCACAGGACACAGGCACACTCCCTCAGGAAGGGGGTTCCCCATCCATCGGTGCTGAGGCATCTATCAGGGTCTCTGCACGCAAATCTGTGAGGGAGCAACTGCAGAAGGGGTGAGGCCTGCGCCATCCCCTGCATGAGGTCGGTGGCGAGTAGAGAGACAGAAAGAAGGTTCAACCCAGAGCCTCAACGCTGTTCATCAGACAACCGGCTCTGAGTGTCCTGAGAGCCTGGCCTCCTCTCTGCCCAATGCAGCCGAGGGGAACTAAAGCGTGTACCCAGCTGGCGGGGTGGGCGCCACGAACGTGAGGCACCTCGGGGCCCCTGCTCACGGGGAAGCCACCCTCGGTCCAGATTCAGGGCCCACAGGGGCATCCGGGCTAACAAACTGGAGAGAGCGAGCCCTGCTCCCGGGGAGGTGGCCACGCTCACTGGTCACGTGGTGTCTCAGGAAGTGAGTCATGAAGAGCGATAAGGGGCACCAGCCACCGGCTCTGCTGCCGCCTTCCATGGGCGTGACGAACATCTTGAGAAACAGGTGACTGGACTCCAGGCCTGACCCCCGATGTGCCGACACCAGTGCAGCACATGGATGTGCTGAGAGGTTCCTCCCCCGTCCGCAGTAACCCCAGGCAGACGCTCTCGGTCAGCAGTGACGCTGCGCCTGGGAGTCCCCGTCACTGGGGTGGGCACGTGCACGCACTGAAGCAGCGGCAGGCGTCACTAGGTTCTCTTCCAGGCTGGAAGGATTTCTCCATAATCCCTGTGCGGCGGGAGGGCGGTACCCAGCTGTGAAGGCGCCAGGAAGGTGTCCACCACGTGGGCCAGCGGAGAAGCCGCCGTGGTCTCTGCCAGAGGCTTTCCTCAGGACTTCAAACAGGAGGGCTGCGGACTGAAAATTCTGTCTTCTCGATTAAAAATAAAAATAAATATGCGAAAGCACTATATCCCAGGATTTGCACTGCAAAGAGGAAAACCACGCATCCCGCTGTCTTGGATAAGCACGCACACTGTTTACGCAGGGCCAGGCGCTATTCAGGCTTACTTGCCCAGAAGCAAGTGTCCTCTCATCCACTGAGACCCTGAGAAAGGGAACCTCTCAGCCTCCGCGGGTGGAGAACTGAGTGGACACCTCGGCACCTGGGGTGCCTCGAACAGGCTGATTCAGGGGAACGTTTCAGTTCTCTAGTCAAGCAAAGGGTGAGAAAGAACAAAGCCCAGCCCCGCGACAGCGAGCACAGGCCTCTGAGCGCCACAGAGGCCTGCTCCTGGGCTTGCCCACCCCTCGTTCGCAGAATGTGGTTTAGGGAACAGGTAAGCTAGAGAAGACTTGGGGCCCAGAGCTGTGCACCAGGGACAGGATGGCAGAGCTGAACATGGGGCAACAGGAAGGCAGCAGGAAGACCTCGGGGTGCAGAGTTAGCAGAGTCTTCTCTGATGCTGCACCATGCAGGGGGAGGGAAGGCGTGTCTCAGAAACAAATCCACGATGGAGGCCCTGGCCACAGTGCACCAAGCCTCCGCTGAATGTCCAGGAGAGCCTGCTCGCTGCCATCCCAGCACCCAGCCCGTGAGGGCTTCCCAAGGCGACTGCCAGGCCCGTCTCAGGCTCCCTCTGGACTCATCTGCACCACCACGACCCACAGCAAACGACAGTGGACAGGATTACAGACAGAGCAAAGGATAGAGGCCAGGCTCTGGGCCAGGGCCTGTGCCCACACCAGCCACAAGATGCCTGTCCAGGAGGACGCAGGGCAGGAACGTGTGAGACACGGCAGATCTCCAAGGTCACAGCCACAGCTTGTCACTTTCGCACGTGGGCCTTTTTGGCCGCCTTTCAAAACCGACCACTAATGTCCTCACAGAAACACTGCTTCCCTCAGAAAGCCGTGGGTGAGTGGACGAACTGAGGTGAGAGGAAGGGCGGAGGCTGTCCCGTGAGTCCATGAGGATGGGTGGGGTG